TGAAATTATCTCTCGAAGAAGAAGAAGAAAAGTCTGCGAAGGGTGTTTTTAATGAATATTACAATTTTGCCATTAATGAAAAGGGTCATCGAACCGGGTCGCGCAGATCCGCTTGTGTGCAGTCGGATCCAGACTAAAAAATATCTAAAACTGATCTGATAATTACTGAAATTACCACTGGATATGTACAAAATTACCCTTTTCAATTCAATTTCTTTAGTTTAAAAGCAATGACAATTTCAGTAATATTAGAATGAATTTTGGACATTTTGCTAAATGTACTTCTCTTTTAATATTATAGAGATGAGAAATAACATCCAAAGGTCATATATCTTCTTAATGAAATCCTCCAATATGGTCATCTNCCTTATTAAACATGCCCAATATGATATTATGTATATAATATATGTGTGGACGAAGCAAACAAAATGGCCAAAATTGATACGAGTAAAAGAAGAAAATAGAAAAAGGATTGAAGAGGTGAGTCCAAAAGATTGGTAAAACACAAATACTTAACAACATAGAAAATTCTTGGAGACACCACACATCACTTTGTCTCCGTACCTATTCATGTCCTACACCTTTGGACACACCCTTTCTTCCTATCATCGTATCTTACACCCATAAAATTCTCCTTTTAGTAACCATGAATTAATAATCTATACTTATAATTATGAGGTCGAAAATCATACGAGAAAACAGTGGAATGTGATGAAGAATAAGCAGGGAACCGAAGCAAAATTGAACAAGAGATAATACACGAGAGATTTTATTAGGGCTCCGAATCCTTCGGTATAATGAGAATTAATTGCTATTAAAACCCACTTTCTTCATTCCAAATCTAACAATCCTCATCTAAATCTAACAACCCCTTCTTTATCAAAACCCACAATTTTCTCATCTTTTATTATTATTATTTTTTAAAACAAACCAAATTAAATATAACAATTAATTTAACAACAACCAATAATTAATTACCTAAACCTACCTCCTCTCCACGTCACCTCCTCTTCTTCTTCTTTCGCGAAACAGAGACAAACANAGCCGGACTCGCTCACTCGTTTCTTCTTCGTCCTTCTTATGCTTATTCGTTTTGCCTTATGGTTGAGAGAAAAACAGAGCCAGACTCGCTCACCTCTTCTTTTGCTTTTTCGTGACATCCATCTTCTTCTTTGCGAAACAAAAAACAGAGCCACACCTCTTTCTTCACGTCCATTTTGAATCTCGTCCGTTTTCCATTGAATCTGGTTAATTTGAAGGTAAGATATTTGGTTTGTATGCTATTTTAGTGTATAGGGTTAGATTAGGTTGTGAAAACCTCTTTGTGTAAAGGTTTCTTCACAATTAGAAGATTTGAAATTTGTTCCTTTTGTTTAGTTATTTGAGTAATGAACTTGTTTACTAAGTCTATTAGTATGGTGATATGATTTATCTAGTACAATAGCAGCTAAATCGTGTTAAATCGTAATAATTCAAACGTAATCGGAGGTAAATCAAAAC